GTGAGCATTGAATATATCGATGATGTAATAATTTGAGTTATCATTCGGGCCTTATATTAGCAACATAGCTTTGGATGATGCATATTCTTGAAGATAAGTCGTGTGAACGCATAGAGCATATAGTTATTGCCATGACTATAAAGCATAAGCTCTTGAGAATAAAATGGTACTTAAGATTAGGTATTCGGGAAGTTTAACCAAAACATGAAATTTCTCGTGGGTTGGTCAATATGAACTGTTCAAATCGAATAGTTATCAACATCAAAGATGTGAAGAGTAATGATTGTGGACCGCTTTTTATTTTGTATAACCTGTTGTATAAGTCCTTCAGATCAACGAAATATTTTTATCAAACAGATTACCCTAACGAGCAAAAAATATTTACTACCGAGAGAATTTTTTTATCAGAATTCAAGTACTTAGGAACTCACCACTCTATTTACTATATTATCTCTTTAGGTATATATAATAACATAAAGATGTCACTACAGTTTATAGCACGCACTTGTATAAAATGAGATAAATGAAACCGGTTTGAACAATACAAATGGATTAAAGGATTTATTGAACTTCAGGTTTCATCACGATTTAAATTTGTCTATGAATAACACCTACGGGCTTTGGATAAAGTTTATGCTAAAATGGAAATCGAAAAAAAAATTATAGTTACAAATCTTTTGTTAATTTATGAGTTTATGATCTTATCCGAATACAATTTATATTCATAATGATTTCAATATTATTGTCTTTCAATTGTCCGGGTCGAAATAAAAATAGGTACACTATAAGTTAGGTACTCATCATTTTTTTCTCACAAAAACAGACACAATTTCAATTTTTAGAATATCAAATAATGTTAAGTATGTATAAACATCAAATATACTACTCGAAGGATATTTGGTATAATATTATTGTACTATAATAGTAGGTGAACAAGTAGTTTGTAGTTAAGTCGAGCAATGTGTTAAGTTGCAGCAACTTAGCAACAATGTAGGGTAGCTACTTTGTGTAGGTCTGATAACAATATTTATTGTTATAGGTATTTCGCTGCAATAACTAATTGAAAATGTAGGATAGCTACTTTATATAGTTACGACGACAACTGTTTTTGGTGGTAAAATTTGTTTATATTTTTAGTTACAATAATCGCAATTTATAGGCTAGTACAACTAAATAATACAACTAAACTTGAATGGTAATAACAACTAAATGAATAGCTGTCCTTATGCTAACTTGAAATTTAGTGTTATACAAACTGTTTAAATGGTTACGGCGACTATTATTTTTTCCATGTATGGTATTTTAATAAACTGGAGTTTTTGCTTTTCAATGCTCTGTTTTATATTAATTATTCGTATTATATTTTATGTACTCAATTAAAAAAAAAATATTTTCGTGATTTCTAGAGTGAGTTTAAGTAATATTGTCTTTTGCAATAGACCCCTAAATAGTTAGTTTAGGGTAGGTTAGGTAGTAACATTATGGCGTTTGAATAGATTCTAATGTAGAATAAATTATTCTCCGTTTGGAACTATACTTAAATTGTTCTGAACAATTTAAGTAGGTTTATCTCATTATTTTGGTTTAAACATTTGTATTACCCTTTGTAGCATTGGTGATCGAAATAACCATATTAAGTATTATATAATATTATTATTTCACATTGACAACTACTACCAGTTATACATGAAGTTTCAACACTATGATAATATTTTTTAAGTTTTTGGTTCGAACACAACTTGATGGACTTTTGAGCAATTAATGTTTAAAGTTAGATTTGTTTTGATAATAATTTTATTCATATAGTAATTAAAAAATATGATTTTTAAATGTTTTCCTTGTCATTAGTGTATTTATTATCGTATGTAAACACATAGTTTATAATATGTGTTATTATGTACATCCTATAGTATAAAAAATGTAATATGTATCAACCTGTTGCTGCTATACTTATACAAATTTATTTATTTGCGCAAAATTATTCGTTGGGATGTATTTATAGGAATTCAATACTCATATTATTTTGAATTGGCTTGTGTCTCTATTTAAAATTTTAAACGGATACAACGAACAGAGAATACAATGTGGGCGCATCAAGTAGTATTCTGCACTTGAGTGGAGGTATGTTTTTTTTTTTAAAGATTCTATTGTGTGTCTGTAAGGTCGACCTCTGAGAGTTTGCAGTCCAATCGATTAGTAACATGATCCGATTTTTGCAAGGAGACTACAAATTTCTACTTACAAATTACAAATTACAAATCAATATTTTATTTTTTGTCATCCATAAGTATCGGTTAATAAAAATTACGTGAAATTCTTTGGTGAGTACAATATACTGATTTACAAATACAAAAACCAATTCTCAATTTGTTTACAAAACAATAGCACCAATCGATCGGCAGAGTCGGTGGCTGTGCTAAGTTAGGTCCCCGTCGTAATCGTTTTCAGGTTAAACACAGTAAACGGCTGATTTGCACGTTCAAAAAATCTATTTGCAATACATTTCCAAAACAATATTGCATTTTTACCCAAAACCCAAGCCACTGGACGGCTAAGCCAGAAAATTGTTAAGCCTCAAGAGTTGCGATTTCCCCTCTCGTCAGGAATCTCAATTGCTCTACATCTGAAATGTGCAGCATAAGTGAAAAATGTTACTGGGCAAGTATTGTGCTAAGTGTGCTATAAAAAGTTCATTTTATATAATATTGTCAAACCTAAAGTCCTAAAATATAAAAATAAATCATAGTAAAAAAATCACGTGGATATTAAAATATATTACTGGTAAGTATGATCGTAGGAAGTATGTATGTATTGTACTTCTCCCAATACCAACCCTTCCTTCAGAGATTTATGGTTCAAAATAATATGTAACTATATATATTATAGTACTCTAGTACTAAAGTACTAACTATACTAATTTAGTAAATGATAAATATAAATAATTGTTGCAAGACTGGCATTGTATATTTTCCAAATAAATTTACAAAAAGATATTCTGTCTTCAATCTCATTTTAGTACTCAACAAATCATACTGTTGTTTGGTTTTATGATTTTATAAATAATAAAAAATAAATAAATAATCATTATTGGTATAATAACTATTAAATATAATTAAAGGGAAAAAACCACAACATATTAAACATTTTATGTTTTGTATTTT